GTCATTTGGAGGTCTGCAGCATGATTTAGATGATAAATACTGAGGTGCTGTTTATATCATAAGTTAGGCTCTGGCAGATTTTATGAATCAAATGTATTGTGTTTAAATTCGTTGATAGTGTCATTATTTGCCAATGTGGCCTTCAACAGAGTTATAGTTAATTGCGTTATCTGCCAATGGGTTTTTGAATCTCATTAAACGCGTGTCTGTAGCTCCAGCTATCCTGCAATTACTGAAGTCCTTTCAAGCTGTAAGCTTTCATTTGTTGACTGCAACTCTATTGTGAATGTTTGCTGAATAATCTCCTTATAAATGACCTTATTTGTTTTTGATGTCTTCATAAGAATTGTAGATGCATGTCTTAGGGTTCAAATGCAACTGGAATCATGATTATATGATATATGTGCTGCAAGTTGAGTTGATTTTAAAATCACTGCGCGGGTTAGGTTTTGAAAACTCATGTTGAATGTTCCGAAATAGAGTTTACTCTTTTCATGCGTTCTTATATGAACTATATGAGTCAATTCTAATCAAATGAATGTTGATATGAGTATATCCATGTGTCAGATAGTCATTGATAGGACCCTTTATATTAATGTAGGTGTTTGATGAGTCGAGCTCGCCTTCCTATCAAAATTTATGTGCTTTATCTACCGCTTCAGTAACCAGGTGGGTTGTTATTCAAAATTTCTATGCCATATGTGTTCATGTTTGTTGGGTCGGTATGTTCAATGTATGCATGTGAACCATGTAGCCTACCGATATGAGCTGTTAAGGCCGTCGGTATGGTTGTCCCCGTCGAGTTACGGTACGGTGCCCTTGTGTGGCAATCTCCTTAAGTCCTGATATGGCCGTGCCCTTGTGAGGTAAGTAAGCCCCTATATAAGGCCGTGTTTGCCGTGTCTGATGCGTGGCACGCACTCCCGCCGTTAGGGTTTATGCAGTCCCTTTCCGCGGCTAATGATAGATGTGCACATGAGTGAGTTAATTGGTACATTGTGAATATGAGATGTAACAGGATGTTAATGTTTTGTGTTCATGCTGCGACCATACCCTCTTAATATTATATATATTGTTTATGTGCATAGTGGTGAGCACCACAGTTTCCATTTGTGCTCACTCCCACCTGTTTCTTCACGGATGCAGGTTAGGCAAGTTGCGGGCGTGACGAATAAAGAGACGAGTGGATGGTTATTTATTATTGCTTTTGCTTCCGCTTTTCTATGAACTTATGTTTGAGTTTATTGGACATGTTAGACGATTTCAAGTTTGGCTTTGAAAATGTTGGAAATGGTTTGTTTTAAAAACCCGTATGTTGGATTTGTTCTGGATCAGGTTATTTGGATATTCATGTTTTGCTGTGTTCTTTGAATATCGTGTTAGTATTAGTTGTTCATGCTGAGTTACGGTGCTGAATAACATGTTTAAAATTTTTTTATTATTGATTAATGAAAACCACGTGAAAAATCGGGTAATGAATCCCCGTGAGATCAGACACGACTCGATCTATATAATTGTTGAATAATGCCCATGATTTCGAAAATTTTTCGGAAAATGTTTTACTGAATTTTTGGAAAGTCCGGAATTTCTTAAAATACAAAGTGGGGTGTTACAACTACACACTAGTAGTATCCAGTTATGAGACCAACAGTTGATGAACTTAGGTTAACTGTGTATAATAGTCAAAAGTCGGGTAGGTTATGGAGGCTTGAAATAAGAGTCACTAATCCGAGTTTACATTGGGGCTTGGAGCCGGTGATAGTCTGTGTGACGATGATAGTTTGTGTGATAATGATGTTCATGTTCATATGATTAATATACTATCTGTGCTTATATTATCACTGCAGATATGAATGAACAATTAACAAAGCCTGTAGAGGAGGAGGAAATCAAGGCACCCCTAGCGGAGATGGACCCTAACAAAGCACCTGGAGCTGATGGTATGTCTCTCTCTTTCTTTCAAAATTCTTGGGATATTGTGAAACATCATCTTTGCCTGGCTATTACTATTTTTTTCCAATCTGGGAGAATGCCTAGGGCAGTTAACCATACTGTTATTGCTCTCAAACATAAAAAGAAAACTGCTACTTCTATTTCAGATTTCAGACCTATTAGCCTCTGTTTTGTCACTTATAAAATCATTGCCAAATTATCGTCAACAGATTGAAAAATTCCCTTTCTTCTTGCATTTCTTCTTCTCATTCTGCATTCATTCCAGGTAGGCAAATCCTTGATAATGTAATTATAGCCAATGAATGCATTCATTTCATCAACAGTAAGAGGAAGGGTAAGGATAAATATATGGCAGTTAAGTTGGACATGGCTAAGGCTTATGATAGAGCAGAGTGGTTGCTTTTGGCTAGGGTGTGTAGGCAAATGTGTTTTTTTGTGACAGGTTTGTCTCTTCGATTGTGGCTTGTATTGGTTCCGTTTCTGTGTCTTTTAATATTCATGGTCAAGTTTTGGGTTCTGTGTTTCCCCTCAGAGGGTTGAGACAAGGTGACACTTTGTCACCCTATCTCTTAATTATTTATCTGAAGCTCTGTCAAATCTTCTTAAGCAGTCTAGTGTTAATGGTCTTTTAGTAGGTATGAAGATCAGTAAATTTTCTCCTGTGCTAACCCACTTGTTTTTTGCTGATGATGCTATTTTGTTTTGTAAGGTTTTGTGTCTCAAGCATCTATACTGAGGAATGTGCTGAAGGAATATGGTGAGGTTCTGGCCAAGCTGTAAACCTACACAAATCCTCAATATACTTCTCTCCTAATACTTCTTTCAGTTGTAAAAAGGATATTTGTGATGTGTTCCAGGGTATTGCTGGTGTGTCCTCTTCTAAATATCTGGGTTTACCTCTTGGGATTGGAAAATCTAAGAGAGAGACATTTAGATTTGTTGTGGAGAGAGTAAAACAAAGAGTGGCTAGTTGGAAAAATGGTTTCTTGAGTGATGCAAACAAAGCTATTCTTATTCAGACTGTTCTTAATGCACTCCATGTGTATGTTATGGAATGTTTTAAACTTCTTATTTCTATATGCTCTTATATATGCAGGGAAGTGGCTGGGTTTTGGTGGGTAAAAAATGGGGAGGGTAAGAACAGGATTCATTGGGCTTCATAGGAGAATCTGTCTAAAGATAAGGAAGCAGGGGGGCTAGGGTTCAGAGACTTAGTGTTTTTTAATAATGCTCTTATCTCAAAACAGTTATGGAGAATCCTTACCCTTGTTACCAAAATTCTAAAAGGCAGGTATTTTCATAACTCCAGTTTCCTTGAAGTTAGAAAAAGAAACTCTAATTCTTGGCTATGGGAGAGTTGGTTAGGGGTGAGAGAGGTCTTTAGGAGGGGAGTGAGGGTACAGTTAGGTGATGGCTCTTCAGTGTCTATTTGGAACTCACTTTGGGTTCCCAGAATACCTTATTTTACCCGTAAGTGTTTGTTTGAGAGGGATAGAGTCAGGTTGTCCAGAGTGAGTGAGTTGATGTCAGTAGAGAGTAAGGGCTGAGATGTGGAGCTAGTGAACTAGACTTTTGATCCTTTTACTGCTTCTGAGATTCTTAAAATCCATCTTAGCCAGTTCAGGAAAACAGACAGATTTGTGTGGATCTTTGACAAGAGAGGGATGTTCTCTGTTAAGTCAGCTTATACAAATTTTCGAACCATCTGTACCAAGGCAAACTCTCAGGCTTCAACTAGCACTTCAGACAAGATTATCAGAAGAATGTGGAAAGTGACATGGCAGCTACCTTTGCAACCAAAAGTTAAAACTTTCATGTGGAGGCTTTACATCAATAAATTTTAAGTTTTTGATGATTTTGGAAAGAAATATATTAGAGGATAATTATTTTTTTAGCAATCAATATATGTTGTTTTGAAATGAACATGATTCACACATGAAAAGGACAAATGTTAAAATAACATTTCATTTGAAATCTTCTTAACTTCTTAATAGATTTTGGCCCACACTCAACAAAATTTCTAGATCTGCCCCTGACTGTTGATATGACCCTTTCTAATGCTCTTTTGGTTGATGATATTTGTATGCTTAGACAATGGTGTTCGTCTTGTTATTTTAATAGCCGAGATTACTTTGAGGATTGTAGTAGGTTGGCCAAGTTGGCCTTAGAGGGGATATAGTGTGTACTATGTCCTGGTTTCTTCCTCTCTATGTTGTAATAGAGTAGGTGATTATGTTCAGTTAAACAACTTGTGTACTTTTTTTTATTGAAGTATTAATATATAC